GAACATAATCCGCCGTATACGTCTACACGAATACGGCGGATTATGTTCCCTCGTGTAGACGTATACGGCGGATTATGTTCTCATATATTTATTATATATATATGATATATATTATAGAGATCAGTGATTTAAAAGCGCGTGCGTATGTACACGCATGCGCGCATGTAGGCTCGTGCGTACACGAACACGCATGCGTACACATAATATCATGATAATATACACTCACAAATGCCCTTAAATGCCCTTATTGACTACGTCACGAATTTTCCACGGTAAAATTTGTAAAAAAACATCCCATTTTTATACATTAAAATTAAGAACTAACGTTACTAAATATATCCTCAAGCTCTCACCTGATAAAAATGTTTTTACGTTGGTTAAATTTGCAAAAATCTAGACGATTTGGTAATTTCTGCTGCCTAACACTATTCCCCCAGTACTGTTCAGATACTGGCGTCTCTCTGTTTTTCACCGGCAAATTAGGGCATATAAAGAAGGTATATAGGCATTAAAAGTAAACAGAAACACTAATTGTATTTTCATGCATTTTATTTTGTACAAATAACATACAAATATACTACTTGATGGTGCTGGAAATTCGTGACGTAATCACTTTAAAGTAAACGCGCGCACGCACGCGCTGAGTCCGGTGCATGCACGACTAGGTGCACGTATAGATGCGGTGTTTTGCAATGAGATGTTCGCCAGCTTTTCTGCATCATGTTACGTTCCCTCGTGTAGACGTATACGGCGGATTATGTTCCCTCGTGTAGACGTATACGGCGGATTATGTTCCCTCGTGTAGACGTATACGGCGGATTATGTTCCCTCGTGTAGACGTATTATAGAGATCAGTGTTTTAAATGCGCGCAAACGTGCATGCGCGCGTGACTGTACGTGCCATCTCGGCTTGTTCGTTATCATAGTGAACATGCGCGCATGTGTGTACCTGCACGGTTGCACGCGCGTTACAACAAAAATATGTAGTCTCTACATTAAGAAAACTTCTTAATTAAATTTTTTACTTCTTATTAGGAAGTCTTCTAGATACTATATTTTTGTTCTATAGTCTTCTATAATCTTGTTGTTTGTGCACAGCGGCGTGCGTGCGGCGTACTTGATTGTTGCTGAGGAGCATTTGAACGGCATTTACAGGAAATTATCGGCAATAATAGGCGAAAGAAAGTAGAGAAATACTAAGACTTTGGTAGTAAATACATTTCGTGTTTATTTACCGTATTTTTTCATTAAAACGTTTCAAGTGCCTGTGTACCGAACCACCCTGGATACAGTAGGCAATACCGCAACCTGGTGTTAGATGCGTTTGCCTGGTGAAACTGTAATTGTTAAAAATTGAAGTGGCACAGATATGAGATATCATTCATATAATTATATGCTTCGTTGACAATAATTTCTAGACACGACGCGCGCGCGTGTGAGTGCGTGCTTGTGTGCGTGCGTGCGTGCGTGTGTGTGTGAGTGTGTATATATATCAAGAGATAATAACACATAATAGAGTATAATGCTTGCTTACTGCTTGCTAACCTTACGAGGATACGAAGTGCTTATGCGAGCTTTCTGCCTATGGCCGCCCTCTACTGTTAGAAAACACGGGCCCGTTATCAGAAACATCGTAGGAAGTTACGTCGTCGTCGATCAAACATCGTGGATTGTTTGATAAATCTGATCACATCTGATTTCAATATTTTTCAATATTTAAATGCGTAATTCAATATTTTATTTACAATATACTTTACAATGTTTTGGTACGTGTGATCAGGGGCGTGTACGCGAGGGGGGGGGGAGCCCCCCCTGCTCGCGCAGAAAACCCATCTAAGGGGGTCTAATTTCAAAAAAATTCTGGGGCGGGGGAACCCCCAGAGCCCCCCTTCGCGTGCTCGCAAGTTTGGGTTACGGTTAGACCCCCCTTGGTACAAATCCTGTACACGCCCCTGGTGATCGGTAGTCAAGTCTAGGACGTGTCTATGATCAGAGCACATAAATCAGGTGATTTATGAGAACAGACCACTATTAAATTCTCCATAGGATCCTATACTTAAGAATTGA